CTGTGTGTTCATCCAGAGCCTCACATCTCACCCATGAACCTACTACACCACTGCCAATGGCCTGCCCAATAACACTTCATTCTCTGTCCAATCCGCTGGAATCCCACATCCTTCCAACGGCCTCCACATCATCCCAATCTCGCCCCCGTGGGTCTCCTCACAGTGTCCCTCCTCTAACCTCTCTCTCCCTCCACAAAACGCTATACTGCCCATATAGACCCGTCTTATTCCTACAGATCCCTGTTTCGACTCAGACTTCGCCTCTCGCCCCACAGACCTCCGTATCACTCCCCATTCACCCCGTCTCACACCTGTGGATCTCAAAGTCTCTCCTTTCACCTTTGTTGACCTCCGTCTCTCACCCTAGGAGCCTCACATCTCACGCACAGATCTCCGCCCACCCCCCGTACACTACCGCGACCTCGCTAGCAAGAAGACACTCCTTCAGTCTCATCCATCTCCAGCCCTGCCCCAGCTCGGCTCCGACCCCTACTCAGCGCTCGCAGGCCTCCCCGCCCTCCCATCCAGCCCCAAAGGCGCCCTGCTCCTACTCGGGGTGCTCCCGGCGGGAGGCGGCCGGGTCCGAGGCCACGCCGACCAGCCCCACCAGCGCCAGCAGCGCGAAGCCATGGCTGGGAACAGCAACCTGCAAGCGGATCCGGTCCTGGCTACTGCCCCGCAGTGCAAGCCCGCCCCTGCCCGGGCCCGCCCACAAGCGAGGCCCTGCCCCTAACCCCGCCCCCCGCGCTCCGGGAAGGCAGAGCGTTGCGGCTGCACCCCTACTCTCAAGAGAATCCCGCCCCCAAAAGAGAGACCCGCCCTTAACTACGCCCCACAGTGGAAGCCCCGCCCCTCAGAGCATCCGGGGTATACGCGATTTAATACATTTCTCCCCAAGCCTCACCTTCCCCCCAAATCCCGGAAGCCTAGAAGACAGCGAATCTCCATTGCTGTTTCAGTCTTTTCCCAAGGAAATAACCAATTAGAAAGGAGCCTATTTTACTTAGCCGCGCCCCTCTCGGGAGGCTCTCGTCGCTCGCTGATGACGCATACGCCCGTGCCATTTGATAGCGAATCCTCCCGCGTGACTTCGTTCCAGCCAATCATTAGTCCGGCTCCAAGCCAGCCTTCCCGCCTTTGGGAAATAACCCGAGTGCGGAAGTCCGGAACAAGGGAGCTCCCGTGCGGAACCCAGCAGCTTCGTTCTTGGACCCCGGGTGTTGTGCCGAGGTAATCCCTCATATCCCTGTCTTTGTCGGGCCAGGGAGAATATTAAACCCTGGAAAGCTCGTCCCACCTCACCTCCTTTCCTATTACATAGGTGAAGAAAAGGGGGGCGTGGCAGTGTACTAGTACCTATGGTACTAAGTACAGAGCCTCCGACCCCCGTGCAGCCGTGTCGGGACCAGGGTTGAGGTACTCTCCTCGGGTTCAGAATTTAAGGGGGCTCCAAAACACTCAGTAATCAAGATAAATATAATACCGCAACGTTTTAAAAGGTCAAAATTAATGCAACAAGTCTATGACCAAAATATTTTTTAAAATCAGAACAGGATCCGTAGTCACAGCTGACCCTATAAACCTAATGCCTCTTCCTTTTCCCCATGGGCCTTCTTGTCAAACATTACTTCCTTGGAGCAGCCTTTTCTCTGACCCGTCCCCTCCCAAGTTCCAAGGAGTTAAAGCTTCTCATTCCACAGCATCCGACCTTTCCGCATCATGACTTACTACACTGTCGTTTTTAACGAGATTTTAAATTCAAGAATAACATACAGAAAAGTGCACAAATCATAAGTGTACAACTTGACAATATATCACAAGGTGTAACCATATAACCACCACCCAGATCAAGAAATAAAGCATGGCCAATATCCCAGTAGTCCTCTGTGCCCTTACTGGTCACTTCCCCTCTCGCCCACTGGTAAGTAAATACTGTTCTGCTTTCTAATAGGTCCTGTGTTTTATGCCTGTCCCACTAGACCAGGAGTAGGCAAACATATAGATTGCAGGCCAAATACTGTCCACCAACATGTTTTGAATGACCAACAAGAATGGCTTTTACTGTTTTTGGTTTTTTTGAAGGTTTTGGGGTTTTTGGTTTTGGTTTTGGTTTTTGAGACAGGGTCCCGCTCTGTCACCCAGGCTGGAGTGCAGTGGTGCCATCTCGGCTCACTGCAACCTCTGCTTCCTGGCTCAAGCAAGCCTCAGGCCTCGGCTTCCGGAGTGGCTGGGACCACAGGTGCCTGCCACCACACCTGGTTCATTTTTGAATTTTTTGTGAAAAATGGGATTTTGCCATGTCGCCCAGGCTGATCTCGAACTCCTGAGCTCAAAGTGATCCTCCCACCTCGGCCTTGCAAAGTGCCAGGATTACAGGAGTGAGCCACTGCACCCAGCTGGTTTTTACATTTTTAATGGTAAAAAACAAAATCGTGTGACGTGTAAAAATTACATGAAATTCAGACTTCGGTTTGAATAAAACTTTTTATTGGAAGACATCCATGCTTCTTTACATATTGTCTATGGCTATATTTGTGCTTTGACGGCACAATTGAGTAGTTGTAACAGAGATCATATGGTTCGCAAAGCCCCAGATACTTACTATCTGGTCCTTCACAGAGTTGGACTACCCCTGCACTAGACTATAAGCTCCACGAAGATGGGGACCCAATCTCATTAGCTCTTACATCCCCAGGGCTTCACACACTGGCTGGCACATAATGGAAATTCATACAATCGAAAAGTATATGTAGGGCTCCCCATCTAGAGGCAGTATATCTGGTGGTGAAGAGGATGGATTCTAGAGTCAGACAACACTAGGTTTGAATCCCTCTTCCTCCACTTACTAGCTATATAACGTTGAGAAATTTAATCTCTCCAGGACTTTTTTTCACCATCTGTAACATTCGGGGGAAATATGAACAGCGGCAATTTGTTGTAGACATTAAAATCAGGTGATGTAGCTAAAGACAACTTCCATAAATGCTAGATAAACGTTAGCTATTATCATCGTCATCCATATGTATTATGACCGTCTCCCATATGTCTCTATAGATTAGACCTTAGGCCTCTTTAGAGACCTGGATATACTTCATTCACTCCTGTCACCTCCCTCACCTCTCAGGTCCCAGAAATTCCCAGCCCACATCCTAAGCGAAACAGAAAATGGAGCCTCAAAGCAATCGAGTGACTTGTTCCCAGGATACTCATGGTGCAGCCAGATCTGGCACCAGGGCCTGCAGCTGCTGCCCATACCCCAGTCAAGTCAAGATCAATAACAGTGAGTCATTGGTTATGTATTTGGATGGTTTTCATTATGAGCCAGGACTGTGCAACTGGGGCCTTTTCTGCCACTGCATTTCTCAGATGGAGAATTAGCAGTTTGATTAATTACACCCCTAGACCTCAAGGCCATTTCTAAGCTGCTAATGCATTTCCAAGGAGCAGCAATAACATATAGCAAAGCGGTGGGCTGGGGAGCCGCCAAGCCTGCCTCGTGCCAAGAGGGCTGCCTGGATCCAAAATTCCAGTCTATCAGTCAGCCTTCTAGCAGGAAACAGATGGCACACTCAAAAGGGGTGATTGAGGACAGTTTAATGAAGGAGTTTGTATACAGAGGTATGAGCAGGGTGAAGGGAATGGAGAAGCACCCCAGGCTAGCAACAGCTGGAAGTCACTACTACCACAAGCCTGGAGGGAGCTGTTTCAGACTGTTTAGGAACTAGTGGGAGCCTGTAGCTATGGAAAAGGGCGTCTAAAGGAGCTGCGGTCTTTGGTAAAGGAAGGTGTGGTGGAGATGAGTGGGAGTGCACCTAAAGGAATCAATGGCCTCTCTGCAGCTGCCTAAGGCCACACCACAGAGGGGCTCTCCAACGGAACAGGGCTCAGGGAATGCCTGTGCCTGTAGCCACATCCCTCTGCCCATCCCACAGGCTCCCATTTGCCGGCAGTTTGTCTCTTTATCAGCAGGGTCAGCACGCCTTTCACCCCATCCAAGGCCTTCACTGAAAAACAAGGCAATTACGTGCTCAGAGAATGACTTGCATGTTCTCAACTGGGTTGACTTGGCAATGTCTGGAGACATTTTTGATTGTCACAACTTGAGTTCCCAGCATCTAGTAGGTAGAAACCAGTGATGCTGCTAAACATCCTATAATGCACAGGACAGCCCCCAACAACACAGAATTGGCCAGATAAAATGTCAGTAGTGACCGGGCACGGTGGCTAATGCCTGTAATCCTAACACTTCGGGAGGTCGAGGTGGGCGGATTGCCTGAGCTCAGGAGTTCAAGACCAGCTTGGGCAACATGGTGAAACTCCATCTCTACTAAAATAACAAAAAATTAGCCGGGCATGGCTGCAGGCGCCTGTAGTCCCAGCTACTTGGGAGGTTGAGAATCGCTTGAACCCGGGAGGGGGAAGTTGCAGTGAGCTGAGATCGTGCCACTGCACTCCAGCCTGTGCATCAGAGCAAGACTTCGTCTCCATTTAAAAAAAAAAAAAAGTCAATGGTGCCGAGGTGAGAGACCCTGTTTTCAACTAATGGGTCTGGCCTCCTTCTCTGTCTCTCTGTCAGCCTCCACCTGGGCACTTCCTGGCACCCTCCCAATTCAGCCCCCAGCTGGGGCAGCTCCTGGCCCTCTCAATACTACCCACTGTAGGCTGAATCTCAGTGGTGTCCCCCAGCACCTTGGCATCTTCCTCTGCCTGGCATTGGCAGTTCCCTTATATTCCCGCCTCATTCCCAGGCTGCCGACCATCCTTCCACAGCCCCGCCCAGCCCTGACTTCAGGCTCTTCTATCTGCACCCCACCCTCCTCCCATTCCTCTCTGAGGCCATCTGTCCTCCAGACCCTGTTCCCAGAACCCCCTCCAACCCCAGCCCCCTCCCACAAATTCTTCTCTCTCCCAGTGGATGATCCCCAGGTTCACCACTTCTAAACATCACAGAACAAAGCAAACTGTTTTAACTAGCCAAGGTCACATTCAAAGCTATTTATTCTTTTTTTTTTTTTTTTTTTTTTTTGAGATGCAGTCTCTCTCTGTCGCCCAGGCTGGAGTGCAATGGTGCAATCTTGGCTCACTGCAACCTCCACCTCCCAGGTTCAAGCGATTCTCCTGCCTCAGCCTCCCCAGTAGCTGGGACTACAGGTGTCCGCCACCACACCCAGCTAAATTTTTGTATTTTTAGTAGAGACAAGGTTTCACCATATTGGCCAGGCTGGTTTCGAACTCCTGACCTCATGATCCGCCCGCCTCGGCCTCCCAAAGTGCTGGGCTTACAGGCGTGAGCCACCTCCCCCAGCCTGCTGTTTATACTCTTTCCCCGACTCTGTCCCTGAGGAACCTTCTCCCCTCACTTCCCCTGGAGTTCCCTCCCCACAAAACACACTCACTTTTATCTCACTGATACTGCGGCCTGGGGAACTGCTGAGCCAGTGCCTTGCATAGGTTCCTTTGGCTGAGGATTGAGGAAGGCCTGCCAAAAGCAAGCTCACCCTGAGGTCCCCAGGGAGAGGGCACCTTGGTGCGCAGAGCCTGAAGGAAACAGTGGCCAAGGCCATGTGGGGCTGTCCCAATGCCAGGGAGGTCCCAGCCGAGGGAACTGACCCTGATCTTTCTGTGTCCCCTGCTGTCTCCCAGGTGGCCCCTGCACAGTATCCCTCCTCACTCACCTTGTCACCTCCCCTTAGTCCTACCAAGGATAGAGCAGGGGGAAGGACCCAGCTCTTTAGTCCTGAGATGAAGTTGCTGAGGTCCCGACTGACCAGAATGCACAGCCACCATTACCACCTCCCCCAGACACCCCTCAAAACCCAGAAAAGCACGCAAGGCAGGTGGACCCCAGACCCCAGGCCTGAGCTCCCCTGCCCCCCTGCCTGCCTGGTGCCTCCACTCTCCAGGTCCGCCACCAGCCACTGAGCCACACCGCCTGGGCCAACAGCAGCAGGAGGGCCAGGGAGGGACGGGGTGGCTGCACTGGCCCGGCCTCATTGCAGCCCCACGAGCTCAGTGATAGGTGGGGCCTGCACCATGAATTCCTCATAGCAACAGAGAAACAGCCGGAAGCGAGCCAGGTACGAGTCCTCGTTGTACGGTAGCTGCTTCTCATGGAGGAACTGGGACACCACGGGCTTCACCTGGTGGAAAATGGGCAGGAGAGGGGCCTATGAGCCGGGGCTGTGGACAGGCCCATCATCCTATGGTGGGTGGCGGGGGGCATCATCTTCCCACCCGCAGCTCCTGTCGGCCTTGTTCCAAGATTCTCCTGAGGAGTAGAAGGGCTTAAGTCAGAGAATTCTTGTCCCCAACCCAGCAGAAGAAAGGAGTGGCTTCTCCCCAACATCCAGGGATCCTGACTGCGTGACAGCCCTCCTTGGCACAGGGGGATAAAAACCAGAGCTCCCTTTTACCAAGCACCTACTGTGTGCCGAACATTTCAGATATATTTCTCCATTTCATCCTCAAAACCTGTCAACATAAGCCCTTCTACTTCCATTTTACAGAAGAGAAAGCTGAGGCCTAGAGGCATTCAGTTCGCTTGTCCAGAGTGGCCCTGCTAGTAAGAAACCTGGGTGTCTCTGATCTGAAACCCATACTGCTGTGGATACGCTGGGCTGCCCTTCCTGGGTGACCTTTGACCAGGCCAGTTGGGGGACTTGGAGTTCAGGTGAACCCTGAAGGTTCGTCCCTCCCCTGCCACCTTTTTTTTTTTTTTTTTTTTTTTAAGACAGCGTCTTACCCCGTCACCCAGGCTGGAGTGCAGTGGCGCGATTATGGTTCATTGCAGCCTCAGCCGCCACAGACTCAGGTGGTCCTCACCTCAGCTTCCAAGCAGCTCAGACCACAAGCATGTGCCCCCACACCTGGCTGATTTTTGAATTTTTTGTAGAGACGGGGTTTCACCATCTTGCCCAGGCTGCTCTCAAACTCCTGGGCTCAAGCCATCTGCCCGCCTCAGCCTCCGAATGTGCCAGGATTACAGGTGTGAGCGACCCCGCTGGGCTGAAGAATCTTCCTTTCCACCCTCTAACAGTCCCTTCATTCCAGCATCCCCAGCCCAGCCCTCGACTACCTTCAGGCACATGTTATCAGAGAGCCTGGGGAAGAGGTGCTGTTCCACATGGCAGCTGATGATCGAGTGGCCAAACGCCCAGTCCAGCACAGGCACCCGGGCCAGGTTAAGCACTCTCAGGCTCATCATGTGTATCCAGCGGGGCTTGTCCCGGGAGAACATGGGCAGCCAATGTGCTGTGACAGACACGTGGGTCACGCCGGGTAGCCTGGACCTCCCCACCCCACTTCAGGTGTCCTGGGATCTCATGCTACCCAGAGGATTCTTGTGTCCCCCACCTCCCATGTGGGGGGACCTGGTAGAGGGGTTCCTGGCCCAGCTGCGATGACAACCCTCTCTGTTTTCCGTACTGAGTCTCATCCATCTCTGGGCCTCCCTCCCCATCTGAACAGTGAGGGGCTTAGCCTGGGCACGTCTCAGGTCCCGTGGTTCCCTAATGCTCTCAACTGCCTACCACTCAGTCTCATCACACCATGCCCTTGCCTCGTCCTGAAGAGACCCTTCCTGCTCTGTTCACCAGTCAAGATCCTACTTATCATTCAAGATCAAGTTTAACAGTGTCGAGTGCTTCCTCTGCCAGGTGCTGTCCTAGGTCAGGAACTCGGAGGTGACCAGGAGCTTCATTGGGTGCAGGACAGGACACAATTGTGGAATTAAGTAATTAAGTAGTTAACAGCAGTTGTGGTAAGTGCTAGACAAGGAAGTACAGGAAGCTCTACTCTGGGGCCTTCCCTGAGCAGGAAACAGGGAGATGTCCCTGTGGAAATGACACCGGAGCTGAATGCTGAGCCCTGGCCTCCCATGAGGAACTCCGTGTCCAGTTCCTCCATCTGCCTCAGGGCAGGCACTGGGGCCTTTATCTCCTACCACTTGGCATCTACGCATCTGCCTGCCTTGGGGCAGTCGCTGAGGCCTTTATCTCCTACCGCTTGGCATCTGCGCATGGAGGGAGGCAGCTGACTATGTTGAAGAAGAGCTCACTTCTTTTTTATTTTTATTTTTATTTTTGTTAGCCAGAGTCTCGTTGTGCCCCCCAGGATGGAGTACAGTGACACAATCTCGGCTCACTGCAACCTCCGCCCCCCAGGTTCAAGCGATTCTCCCGCCTCAGCCTCCCAAGTAGCTGGGATTACTGGGGCTTGCCACTACACCCAGCTAATTTTTGTGTTTTTAATAGACAGGATTTTGCGATGTTGGCCAGGCTGGTCTCCAACTCCTGACCTCAGGTGATCCACCCACCTCAGCCTCCCAAAGTGCTGGGATTACAGGAGTGAGCCACCGCACCCAGCTGAGAAGCTTGCTTCTTACCTGAAACCGAAACTCTTGAATGATCCTTGGAGTTGGGGGTGGTCAGGAAGAGACGACATACCACAACTGCTGTTAATTACTTAATTCCATAATTGTGTCCTATCCTGCACCAACCCGAAGCTCCTGTTCACCTCTGAGTTCCTAGACCTAACATAGTGCCTGGCAGAGGAAGCACCTGACACTACCTGTGCAATTTGACTGTCAATCATGAGTAGGATCTTGACTAGTGAAGACAGCAGGAAGGGTCTCTCCAGGATGAGGCAAGGGCACAGTGTGATGAGAGCGAGAGGGAGGATGCCTCATCCTTCAGGTGGCCCCTCTCTCCTCAACCTAGAGTCCAGCCTTCAGTCAGGGCCCCTGGAGAATGTCCCCCTTAGCTGCCCAGTGCCCAGGTTGGGGTGGCCTCACCTGGAAGATGTTAACGTGGTGGTAGGGGTGGGCCAACAGGACTGGTGAGGAACATGCAGCCCAGGGCCGAGCTGGGGCTCTTGAAGCCTGACACATTCAGGAGCAGCCAGTAGTGAGAATAAAGGCCCAGGGAAATCAGGGCCAGCGTCCGCAGGGCTGTCCTGAGCTCCACCTTCCTCAGCCGCTCTGCCGGAAGGGGCAAGACATGGAGGGGACAGGCAAGGCTCAGATCCATCAGGAGCAGCTCTCTGCTGGCTCAAGCACGCTAAGGCGTTGGCGGGGGCACCCTGAAAAGCAGGGTCCCCATTGTGTGGATGAAGAAACAGAGGCCAGGCTTGGTGGCTCAAGCCTATAAACCAAGCACTTTTGGAGGCCAAGATGAGCAGATCGCTTGAGCCTGTGAGTTTGAGACCAGCCTGGGCAACATGGTGAAACCCCATCTCTATCAAAGATACACAAAATTTGCTGGGCGTGGTGGCACACACCTGTAGACCCAGCTACTCAGGAGGAGCCTGACCTCCAGGCTTGGGTGATCCTCCCACTTCAGCCCCCTGAGTAGTTGAGACTATGGGTGTGTGCCACCTGCAGTGAGCTGAGATTGTGCCACTGCACTCTCTAGCCTGGGCAACAAAGTGAGACTCTGTTAAAAAAAAAAAAGAGAGAGAAAAGAAAAGAGAAAGAAAAGAAAAAATGAAGAAAGAAAAACAAAGAAAGAAACAGAAACATTAAGCAATCTGACCAAGTCAAGCCCTGGGATTTGAATCCAGGTCTAGCTGCCCCATCGCCCCTGCCTCCCTCCACCATATGACATCGCTCTCCTGATATCAAAGCTGATAACAGGAAGTATTATTTCTGCAAAGCAATATTTTTTTTTTTTTTTTTTTGGAGACACAGTCTCACTCTGTCACCCAGGCTGGAGTGCAGTGGCGCGATCTCAGCTCACTGCAAGCTCCGTCTCCTGGGTTCAAGTGATTCTCCTGCCTCAGCCTCCCAGGTAGCTGGGACTACAGGCGCCCGCCACCACACCCAGCTAATTTCCTGTGTTTTAGTGGAGATAGGGTTTCACCATGTTGCCCAGGGTGGTCTCAAACTCCTAAGCTCAGGCAATCCACCTGCCTCAGCCTCTCAAAGTGCTGGGATTACAGGCGTGAGCCACCATGCCTGAACCCTGCAAAACATTTTTATACCTAGGACCTCATTTTCTCTCATACCGTACTTGAGGAGCAGGTACAGGACCCGAGACTCAGACAGGTTAAATTATCTGCCCGTGGTCCCCAGCTAGTAAGTGGCAGAACCAGACTTAGCTCTGGGTCCGAGGCTCTTTCTACCCTGCCATGCTGTCTCAGCAAGAATCTATCAGGCCTTCCTCTATAAGCAGCCTCCATGAAGCCAGGCAGGGAAAGAGAGCAGGAGAACCAGGTCCATGCAGGGCACTGCCGACTTGGGCTCTGATGGCACTCACCGACAGCCACCAGTGGAGTGACGATGGGGAGGAGGAAAGGAGCAAGGAACATGTAGACAGCAGTTGAGATAAGGCAGCGTCCACGTGCTGGAGTCCCCCAGGCCCACCACATTGGTGTAGGTATGGTGCATCTTGATGTGCCCATGCGTGGTGTGCTCTGCAGTGAAGATTGTGCACACCTAGAGGAGGGAACCAGAGACGACACTGGGGTCCGTGTCAGGCACAGTTGAGCAATGCAAGACCTTTGAGAGCCTGAAGAACACCCCCACCTCCTCAAACCCTGCATGTCCAGGGCCATCCTGCCTTATAGCCCCAGCTAATCAGCTTTGACCATCAGCTCTTAGGTATCTATGACCACGGAGTGACAGTCAGTCAATACAATCGCGTCTGTTTGGTGAGGCTCTGCAAAGCATTTGGGGGTGGGAGGCTGGACCCCTGGAGTGCCAATCTGCCAGTGACTGCCCAAGCAACGAGTCTCAGAGGCTATCGTCATTGGAGGCACTGCAGGTGATGATCCCGGCATCTGATGTAATGATTTTGTGTGTGTTTCTCTTAGAAACATCTGCTCCTTCATAACACTGAGCACTCTGAGCCCGGAGCAGCAGCCAGGAGGGGCTGCAGGAGTGGTCTGAGAGTGCAGGACACCATCCCCGGAACAGTCCACAACGTGGGAGCGGTGCCCTGATGGAGGCCGAGAGCTTCTCCCTAGAGGTGACTCTTCAGCATGGATCCCCAGTGGGATTCTCCGAAGCCGCTCGGAGCAGCAGCAAGCGCTGTGACTCCTGGAAGAGGCGTCAGTCTGGAATGCAGAAGGCACGCTAAGGTGTTTCTTAAGCAGATACCTGTAAGTGTATGCAGATGTAAGCCTCTTCCGATATTTTATCTAGGACAGAAAATGTGCCTAATTTTATTGAAGGTGCTGCCTAACTGTTTCTGGAACGACGTGAAAAGTTTCCCAATACCAGTTGCTGCAAGCCAGGTAAAGACAGCAGCACACCCCGCAGAGGGCTCACTGCACCAGGCTCCATGCCCGGCACTCGCACACTTCCTGAGGGCGGTGGCAGATGACTACATGCTGCTGAGTTAGCTGGAAAATGGATGGTTCTGCTGAAAAAGATCATTTATTTTATTTTTTTGTTTTGAGACGGAGTCTCGCTCTGTTGCCCAGGCTTGAGTGCAGTGGTGAACCTCCACCTCATGGGTTCTCGGCTCATGGCAAACTCCGTCTCCCGGGTTCTCCTGCCCCAGCCTCCCGAGTAGCTGGGACTACAGTTGCCCACCACCACGCCTGGCTAATTTTTGTATTTTTAGTAGAGACAGGGTTTCACCATGTTGGCCAGGCTGGTCTCAAACTCCTGGTTCATGGGATCCACCCACCTCAGCCTCCCAAAGTGCTAGGAATACAGGTGTAACCCCAACACTTTAGGTGGCCAAGGCGGGCAGATCACTTGAGGTCAAGTCTGGTACTGTGCTGCTTCCCACAGCCTTTGTCCATACATTTGTTCTGTCTGAAGCCACCTTCTTGCTCCTTAGTTTGGCCAACTCTGTCCTGATAGCATCTCCCCTGGGAACTTTCCCTGGAGTTTCTCAGTCGTGCATGATTCACATTTGGGACTCAGGCACTTTTTGTGTCAGGGACTGTCCTGTGCACTGTAGGACATTTAGCAATATCCCTGGTCTCTACACACTTGATGCCAGTAGCATGCGCACACACACACAAACACACACACCACTCTTTTCCTTTTTTTTTTTTTTTTTTGAGACAGACTTTTACTCTATCGCCCAGGCTGGAGTATATGAAGTATAGTGATGAAATCTTGGCTCACAGAAGCCTTGAACTCCTAGGCTCAAGCAATCCTCCTGCGTTAGCCTCTCCAGCCTCACAAGTAGCTTGGGCTACAGGTGCACACCACCACATCCAGCTAATTTTTGTTTTGTTTTGTAGAGACAGGCTCTCTCTGTGTTGCCCAGGCTGGTCTCAAACTCCTGGGCTCAAGTGATCCTCCTGTCTTGGCCTCCCAAGGTGATGGAAGCCACTGAGCCTGGCCCACACCCCCATCTTGATAGCCAAAAATATCTCCAGACACTGTCCGATATCCCTGCCCTGCTCTTCCCACCGTGAGCTCTCAGAGCTTTCACTCCACCCTGGTCGATGCCCTCATCACATTCTGCCTGCCCCAGTCACCTACCAGCTGGCATGGCATTGCACAGTGGCTTAACCTCCCGGATCAGTGTTTCCTCATCTACCAAGTGACAATAGCTTCACCCTCGTAGGGAGGTGTGACTCTGAAATGAGGTAATTTACATAAAGGATGCAGGAAGCAGCCAGTAAGCGTTAGCTAGTGCGATCAGGATTTATTATTATTTTGAGATGGAGTCTTGCTCTGTCGCCAGGCTGGAGTACAGGGGCACAATCTCGGCTCACCACAACCTCTGCCTCCAGGGTTCAAACAATTCCCCTGCCTCAGCCTCCTGAGTAGCTGGGACTACAGGCACGCGCCACCACGCCTGGCTAATTTTTTTTTTGTATTTTAGTAGAGATGGGGTTTCACCACGTTGGCCAAGATGGTCTCGATCTCATGACCTCGTGATCCGCTCTCCTCGGCCTCCCAAAGTGCTGGGATTACAGTCATGAGCCACCGTGCCCGGCCAGGATTTTTTGTTGTTTTGATGTCATTTGTATGTGTCTCTTTTGCACTTGACTCTGAGTCCCTGGGCAACTGGAACAGGGTCTTATTCACAGTATGTCCCCAGCATCTATTGGAGCATGGTGTAGGTGGAACTGGGACACCACACACAAACACACACACACACACACAGAGGACCAATGTCCATTTCCTTGGTTTTGATATTGAACGACACTTAGATAA